TTTCTTCCTCTTCTTCTGTCTTTCTTCTCTTTTTCTTTCTTTCTTTCTTCTCTGCTCCTTGTACTTCCTCCTCTCTCCCCCCTCTAATTCTCCCTAACCCTCAACTCTTTTTTCTCCCTCTCTCCCCCTTTTCTTTCTATCTTCTCTTTTCCCTCCTGATCCACCCTCCCTTCTCTCTCTTCCTCTACCCCTTTTCTTTCTATCTTTTCCCCCCATGATCCACCCTCCCTTCTCTCTCTTCCTCTATCCCTCTCCTTCTGTCTTTCTTCTCTCTCCCTCTTCTCTTTTTCTTTCTTTTTCCCTTCTCTCCCCCTTGTCCTTCCTCCTCTCTCTCCCCCTCAACTCTTTTTTCTCCCTCTCTCCCCCTTTTTTCTTTCTTCTTTTTTCCCTACTGATCCACCCTCCCTTCTCTCTCTTCCTCTACCCCTTTTCTTTCTTTGTTTCTGTTTAGCCAAGACTGCTGTATGAGAAGAACCTTGCTGTGTACGGCCAGCTTTACTTTCTTGCTCTCGTTCCCCGTAGGCCATGGCCAAACCTACACAGCATGATGTTAAATGTCCCGCCGATTGCCACGGTGAGGATCATGTGACCTGAAGCTTCAGCTCCCTGCATGCAGAAACACTGTGAACAATGAGCTGACTTTCAGTGCAGGGGGTGATATTAGATGCCGGATGAAGTGACATTGGTGGCTCTCTGTACTACAGAAGCTGTGTCTATGACATTTGGGGGGATTTATCGATGTGGTCGTGCCGTCAGCGTCTCTTACACCGCCACGTCCCTGATTTCTGGTGCCGATTTATGATCCTGGTTTATGTTTCATTCTTATTTGTTGCTTTTATTCTGTGAAGATCTGAAACTTAGCTCAGGAAACATGTTTGAAGGGATGTAATCAGTGCGGAGGAATCCGGGGCAAATGTCAGAGTACAATGAGGATTCCACTTTACAATGTTTTGTAGTTTCCTATAAAACAAACAGGTGCAGCAAGAATGTCCAACACCCAAATTCTACAGAGAGAGCCAATGCGGAACAGCTGAGCGGGCCTGCAGGCTACCAGAGCCAGGCACTGAAACTTCACAGCTATGGTGGCTTCAGGGGGACATAAAAGCTGAACTCCTCTAAATAAAGAGTCCTCTGTATTCTTCTTGGTGAGCTTTGTGTATTCTTCCAGATCTGTGCAGTCATCCAGTGTGAGACTCGGAGCTTCCTGTAATAAAGAACGGTCACTGCCACTCTCTCTCCTAATGCAGGGTGACTGGTCTTGTCTCCACCCCCCTCCTGTAATAAAGAACGGTCACTGCCACTCTCTCTCCTAATGCAGGGTGACTGGTCTTGTCTCCGCCCCCCCTCCTATAATAAAGACCGGTCACTGCCACTCTCTCTCCTAATGCAGGGTGACTGGCCTTGTCTCCGCCCCCCTCCTATAATAAAGACCGGTCACTGCCACTCTCTCTCCTAATGCAGGGTGACTGGCCTTGTCTCCGCCCCCCTCCTATAATAAAGACCAGTCACTGCCGCTCTCTCTTCTGGTACAGGGTGAATAGTCTTGTCTCCGCCCCCTCATGTAATAAAGACTGCTCACTGCTGCTCTCTCTCTTTGTGCAGGGTGACTGGTCTTGTCTCCGCCCCCTCCTGTAATAAAGACCACTCACTGCTGCTCTCTCTCCTTGTGCAGGGTGACTGGTCTTGTCTCCGCCCCCTCCTGTAATAAAGACCGCTCACTGCTGCGCTCTCTTTGTGCAGGGTGACTGGTCTTGTCTCCGCCTCCTCCTGTAATAAAGACCGGTCACTGCTGCTCTCTCTCCTTCTGCAGGGTGACTGGTCTTGTCTCCGCCCCCTCCTGTAATAAAGGTGTGTGTGTGGCCATTTTGGGTTTAAATAGCATTTTGGGAAAGGGAAGTGCTGCAGTACCACGAAGACAAATAAAAAAAAGTCACAGCCCGTCCTTTTCAGCGACGTGCCGATCACAAAGAGACAGGTCCTCTGTAACGCAGCAAGAAGAGAGCTTTCCATGGTTACGGGGAGCCATATTCTGCCCAAATGAATTGGTTTTTTTTACTTTCTTTGGGGCGGACACCAATTCAGCGGTGCAGCGGTATGCACGGCAAGGCCTTAAAAGTAAATAGCAGAGATTCCTGAGACATTACTGGCGCGAGGTGTAATCTTATCTGACTCCCGCGCTTACATGACATCGGCTTTTATAGAGTGTGAACTCCGGTGAGTCAGAGAATATCACTGCAAGTGTGTCAGAGGGACATAGACTAATCAGCAATGGCTTAGCTCTGTGTGAAGGGGTCCCATAGTAAATGCATTAGGGGCCCCCTTCCTTTACGATGCCATCTCCGTCTCACCGGTAATTCTTCTAGAAGTATATAATGCCATGTGCTTCCTAGCAGTGGCAGAGATTCCCATTCATGGACATGCCAAATATATTTTACAAATGATATCACCACCAACATACAACACTATCTGGCTGGGCAGTGTTGGGCCCCATTGCAGTGGCGTGGTCTGCTATGGTAATAGTTCTGCCCTATACAAATCCTTGACTCATATTGCATAGAAATGTTTAACCCCCTCCCCTAAAATACTTTCCAGTTCCCCCCTGGATCTCTACCCACGTGCAGCCAAGGCTGGTAAGAAAATATTGGCGTCATGGTACCCGCATAATGCCTTCATTAGGCCCAATTCACACATTGGCTGGGGCGTGGATCTTGCCAACGCTGAGGGCACATAGTGTGGATAAGTCAATGGCCGACCCACTCATCCCAGCTCATTGCCTGGCTGGAGGATGACCAGCATCAACTAGCCCGGGAGTGGGCAACTCTGGCCCTCCAGCTGTTGTGGAACTACAAGTCCCATGAGGCATTGCAAGACTGACAGTTACAAGCATGACTACTAAAGACACAGGCAGGACTGCCAGAGACAAAGGCATGTTGGGATTTGTAGTTAAAGCACAACTGGAGGGCCGGAGTTGCCCACCCCCTCATCTAGCCCTTTCCCTCCCAGCCTGACTGCCCCACCTCATTCATTGGATTTCAGTTCTGTCAATCATAGAGGCTCAGTGTCACATGTGGGCAGTCTGCATGCAAAAACAGCCTGCCTATGACCGCCCACTCTTCCATCCCCCCTATCAAGGCATTTTGATATTTGCATAACTCCTCCCAAGAGCCGGCCCACTGCTTGTGTCAGGGTTGAGAGCTCTTGAGGAGAGTCCTGAGGCATGGGGCTGTGATGTTTTCAGGAAGCTATGCACAGGCCCCTCCCACCAGCCTGGTTCTGCCTGCACTGTATAGAGAAGCACTGGGAATAAAATAAGGTATGTAATGAAAACAAAAAGGATTAATTAAAATAATTATTTAACATGTGGATGGGGGAGGAACCAGGGAAGGCAACATATAAGCGGATTAGATCTCAGCATTGAGGGGTTAATCAGAGCAAAGTTCACCTGTCGCAGGGTCATAGCTCACAACGAGGGACCCGTGCTCTGCTTGGCGTGTACAGGAACAGCCCGAAGATAGCAGGTAAATATGTTTACTTGTGTAAACATAATGCTCCACTCCACCCTTGTGCTTTGCAGAGCGGTTCAGGTTACACCCTGGGACCTGGAATACCAGATATTTAAGAAAGCCGTTCTTCTGATGACACGGGACAGGGCGCTCACCTCGGAGGATGGACTACTCCAGCCCAAAACAGGAGCACAAAAAGGGTTGGAGCCTCTGTTAGCTTCTTGCTGTGCGAGCCCAATGGGGAGACTTCCTCTTACTAATAGTCAGGACAGGAAATGATGGGAAATCTGTGCAATGGGGACACCACTTCATTGCGTTGCATATCCTGACCCCACTACTACTGCTGGTGTGACCCCTCCTCCAACGAAAAGCATTTAAAGCTGAACTAGGGGCAGAAACCTTATTATATAAATGTAAAAGTGCTTCCCTACCTTAAAAGGAACTTCCACTTTCCCAGGTGAATTTGGGGAAAATTACATCGCAGCCCTACACTATGTATTTAAAATTACGCTTGCAAATTGTGAGCACTCATTGGGCAAAGCAGTCACCTGACCAATGAATGCTCTCCAACGTTGGGGAGTAATTTAAACTATCTAGCGCAGGGCTGCGATGTTATGTACGGACCGTACACCGGGAGCCACAGAGCAGAAGCAGCTTTCATTCAAAGTTAAGAGCAGCGGGAGGGGGGCAGATTGGTGGTGGGGGGGGAATTCCATTTTCCAAAATTCACTAGAGAAACTGGAATTGCCCTTTAAGACTCTGTTCACACTATGGCATTGCGTCAACACACGCCAAACTCACTCATTGGTACTCGTTCACCAACGCGTAAAAATCATGTGGCGCAGTTGCCGTGCCATTTCTTGATAACAGCACCTCAAACATGGCCGGTATAATGCGTGCCTTTGCCTGCGTGTTAACGTGTGGTCAAAAAACACGTGAAGCTCGCAGCTGAAAATGCCACATGAGCTTCTTTGCCCCATTGAAATGAATGGGCTGACGCATGCCAATACACGTACAAACGTGTCACACGCATATGCAAAGTGTCCACGGGGGACTAAAATGCAACCGAGGGTAGTTTTTTTTAAGCTTTGGATATAGTGGATAAATTAGAACCCCTGTCAGCTCTTTATTGCTGTCTGCATCCCCCCTTAGGGAGATTCCCCCTCTCCATTTATCCTGGTGAATGTTATCACTGAAAGGGAAAGAACATCCCAAATGTTGGGCTGTCACCAGAAGAGGGGGGGCTAGAGAGCACCAGGGGGGCTAGAGAGCACCAGGGGGGCTAGGGAGAGAGGGAAGGATAGGGAGAGAGGGAAGGATAGGGAGAGAGGGAAGGATAGGGAGAGAGGGAAGGATAGGGAGAGAGGGAAGGATAGGGAGAGAGAGAGGGAAGGATAGGGAGGGAGAGAGGGAAGGATAGGGAGGGAGAGAGGGAAGGATAGGGAGGGAGAGAGGGAAGGATAGGGAGGGAGAGAGGGAAGGATAGGGAGGGAAGGAAGGATAGGGAGGGAAGGATGTGAAAAACACACACGTAAAAGGAGTCAAATAACATTTTATTTTACAGAAGGGCTTCCACTGAATAGCTGAGAGCAGCCACCAGATACTTTACAACAGAGAGCAACAATATGATGGATGAGTACAGTCCGGACGACCTGGGACGGGGGGAGGGGGCCCCTATCAGCGCACCGGGTGGAAGGCCTCAGTGATTTCGCCTACCCTTCGAGGTTCTATGAAGAAGAAGACAACAGAGAATAAATGACAATTTTATGATGTGCACAAAACCTTAAAGATGAACTACTGATTGAAAAGGAATCTGTATTGGTTTCTGGTAAATGTCATTATTTTAAATCTAAAATCCAAGAAAAAAAGATAAAAAGGGGGCGGGGAGGAGGGAGGGATGGAGGAGTCCCTCATTTAAACCAGAAGGCACATTTCACATCTTTAACAGACCCATTGGTACACTTTAAAACTGAAATCCAGGCAAGCATAGGGAACACCATGTAATCTAGTTACGTATTCACCAACATACTTACATCTATTTATCTATTAGGGCTGAAACTAACAATTATTTTCATAATCAATTAGTTGGCCAATTATTTTTCCGCTTAATCAGATAAAAAGAAATACCATCTTTAAATTTGAAATGAAATACACAAATGCAGTGCTACAAAGTTTATTTCAGAGTGAAACTGCATGCACAATTTTTTTGCACTGCACTGGAAAGCAGGGCATTGCAGAACCGCGCGCTCCAGGTGATCGGCATGTTTGGGGTGGCTTTAAAAGGAATGGCATTGCAACACACCTCCCGCAGCAGAATTTGCCAGGCCGGTCATCAGTTTAGCATTGGCCATGGATATTGGCCCGAGAATGATTGCTCTCACACCAGACATGTGTAGCGCAGTCGTCTTCTTTTGTATGTAGGTGCACCCGACTAATGCTTCCGTTGGTATGAGCACGTTCGCGGAGACTTTATATATTTTTTTAAAATTAAATTTTATTTAACTTCATTGCTATCACATGCCCCCTATGTGATAGCACATTGGAGATGACATGTTCTCTTAACGGTGACATTAGGGGTATATTAGACCCCTAGTGCCACCTTTCTACTTTAAACAAGCTATTCAATGTGTTTTATGATTTCTTTTTAAATTTTATTTATAAAATTAAGAGATTTTTAAATTACCGAATGTAGACACAGCAGGGAGTACCCGCTCTCTGCCGTGTGCAATAGCCAGCCTGCTAATAACTATTACAATTTGAAATAGCCAATAGCAGACTGGCTATTGTTCCCGACTGCTGGATTGGAGACTTGCCGCCGGCTTTGTACAGCCAGTGATTAAGGTTTGGGGGAGCTCTCCTCACCGCTGGGCACTGACTAGAAGGTTCCGTTTTCCCTTCGACCCCCGCTGGCAGCAACGGAGATCAGAGGGGACACAGAGCCCATAAAACGACTGCCAGCGGGGAGGAGAGAAGCCGACTCAACTAATCGATTCCAACAATTCTCATTATTGATTGTCATCAATTAAATTGATTAGTCGTTGCAGACCTACTCTCTATCGCACACACTGATCAGCCATAACGTTCTGACCGCTGAGAGGTGAATGAATAACATTGATTATCTCGCACAGAGTGGTACCTGTGGGTGGGATATATGAGGCAGCAAGTGAACATTTTGTCCCTGAAGTTGATGTGTTGGAAGCAGAAGAAATGGACAAGTGTGAGGATTCGAGTGGCTTTGACAAGGGCCAAATTGTGATGTCTAGAGGACTGGGTCAGAGCAACTCCAACACTGCAGTTCTTGTGGGATTTTCCTGGTCTGCAGTGGTCAGGACTGACCAAAAGTCCGATCCATTGAGGCCGATCACCTCACATCTTACAGGACTTAAAGGATCTGCTACTGACGGCTTGGTGCCAGATATCACAGCACACCTTCAAAAGGTCTAGTGGAGTCCATGCCTCAATGGGTCAGGAAAAGTGGGACCTACTCAGTATTAGGTGGGTGGTGATAATGCACATTTAGATAGACGTGTAAGCAAGCGTTAATGTTGGGAGGTGCGATTTGGAATAGCACCCCCAGCGCACTGCATACCTGCATTGCAGCCAGCTTCATAGTAATGCCCTACTGCACTCCCGAAAACAAGGGTCAGGTGCTATGCTATGTCATGTATGCTCAGGTGCATTAGCGGGCCCAATGAC